AAATTAATGCAAACATAACGTCCGGAATCTGGTAATATTAAAATTTAGCTAAATGTTAGAATGTATACTAGTGAATAACTAAAATATTTCACACCCAAGTCTTTAAATTCTTAAAACAATGCCATTTATTTTAAAAAGTATGTTCCATAAAATAGCTCATAGTCCTTATTTTAATCTATTTATCATTAGTTTCATTTATTTTTCAATCAAGAAAAATGAACACTTTCGTTTGATTATTCTATCCCATCTCTAGTATTTAGAAGACATAGACTTAAATCGACTATAGCCTCTTAATGAATTAATGAATGGTTGAATAATCCATTTCCATAAGTCATGAATATTCGTTCGGAAAACCTAGTCACCTTACCTACTGAACACAGTACACTTTTTGAACCAAGCACAGCAAAAGATTTTATACCTTCCATTTCATTTGTTTCCGTTTTCGATTCATTCTGAAGTGCTTTAATTTAGTTTGACATGATCAAATGCTTTAAAATTTGAATCGCAAATTGAAAATGATACACAAAATCATTATGAAAATTTAATTTCAAAAATGGAAATTTTTATTTTGGCATTTGTTTTGTTGAGTAATTTTGAACGCGGTCACTGTAGTTTACTCCGCACGTTATCATGGGTAAGAAGACCAAGCAGGGAAAGTCTAGGAAAGACAAGTTCTATTTCTTGGCAAAGGAATCTGGTAAAGTTTATATTAATAAACGAATGTTGAAGGCTTTAGGGCTAGGTCCGCTTTTAAATTGATTCAATTGAATCGCCGGTTTAACTTTCTCGGTTCTTCAAAAGTATTGATTGATCTATGCGCAGCTCCAGGAGGATGGATGCAAGTGGCCGCGAAAGAGATGCCTGTAAATAGCATAATTGTTGGTGTTGATTTGGTTCCAATCGCGCCGATTCCCAACTGCAAATCTATCGTCGCTGATATCACTACTGATAAATGCCGGCAATTGCTTCGAGCTGCAGTCCTTAACAATAAAGCCGACGTTGTGTTGCACGACGGTGCTCCCAATGTTGGTACTGCCTGGACCATTGATGAATACAGCCAAGCTGCTCTTTGTTTAAAAGCATTCTCATTAGCTACCGAATTTCTTCGTAAAGGAGGTTGGTTCATTACCAAGGTCTTCAGAAGTCGTGATTACGAACCTCTAAAATGGGCTGTGTCTCAATTTTTTCGCAAAGTGGGTGTTCTAAAACCAGAGGCATCTCGAGCCGAATCTGCTGAGATATTCTTGGTGTGTCAAAACTATCTGGATCCTTCCTCAATTGATCCCAAATTCCTTGATCCAAAGCATGTCTTCGGTGAAATAGAAATCCCAAAGTCTCGTGAGACTGTTGTATCTTCTTTACTAAAAATATCTAAGCAGAAAAAGTAAGCCAGTTCATCAATAATTGCACCTTTACTTTCTTTTTGCTTTCCTGTACGTTTTACTGTCTTTTAGGAAAGCGGAAGGATACGAAGATGACAAACTTTATAAGGAGACGCTTCTGTCGGAATTCCTTGATTCTGATGATCCACTGCGTCTTTTGGCCAAGACCAACAAGATAATTGTCGATCGCGAAGAGCTGTTGGATAATCCATTGACACCGAAATTTCTCAGGAGCTCTTTTGAAGACATTCAGGTTTTGGGCAAGCCTGACATTCGGGCGATACTCAATTGGCGACGAAAAGTTCTGGCGGCTCTCCAAAAGGAGAAAGAATCCGCCATGCAACCGTAAGTATGACGATTTCGAATAAAGCGGCAATTTTAGCTTTAATGTTCATAATTCCTAGTCAATGTTAGTGTATTCTGAAGTCGCTGATTTTTGCCCTCTATCTATCTAAATATGGAAAGTAATCTACCTAACTTATATCTAGTGCTCTTATGGACATGTTTGGTTAGTCTTATTTAGAGTCGTTTAAGAAATAATTAGCCAATTTAATCTGATTATAAGATTCTATGGTCCGAGATAGCTAAAACAAGTGATTTCAATAACCGTGATGGCCACATGTGTCATTAAACCCGTTGATATTTTGGGGCTACAGGTCCCTTCAGACTCGATTTTATTATTATAAAAGTTATACACGAGCTTGAGGAATGGGACGTTGCGTCTGTTACTTTGTGTTCGTTATTTTCCTTGTTCTCGTGGGAACTTAATGATTCAAAAGGCTTGTTGAAGTTTAACTGGAAGCAAACCCATTTCACTTCTTGTCTCTGTGATGGCCTAGTCCTCGACTCTTAATGGAGTTTATTTCATTTCTCAAGCTGATCGAGAACATTTATTAGGATTGATTTGGTAAAGATAGGTATCTGTGAACAATTTTTATAAAAGGCCCCCTTTCCACCACCTCTCAGTATAAAATTAATCCATAGACTTGGCTTCCACACGTGTCTATGAACACACATTTAGAATTCTTTAACTTAGCGTATGTGTACGTTGGCCACATCGTAATTCCAAAATGTGATACTTCTCGATTCTACTTATCTTTTTGTTTTAAGGAAAGCAGAGGAACTCGTTCAAGAAGAGCACGGTAGTGAAGATGAAGATGCAGCTGTTCAAAAAGAGGTCTCACGTCTCCTCGAAGAAGAGCAAAAGTCATCCAAAAAGTAAGATCTCTTACCATCTTGGTTGCATTAATTCGTGTTGGCAACTTCTACTGACAGTCTATTTGGTAAATACTAGACGCCTTAAAGCAGTCCGAAAAGCCAAAAGGAAGTTGGCCGAACGCATTGTCCTCAAACTGGAGCATCCAGGAGATGTTATTGAGCAAAACAACGCCGGCGAGTTGTTCTCTCTGGCTTCAATTGGAGGTCGGGATTTAGATAGTATTCAGGAGGCGGAGAAGGATTTGATAGAGCAGACTGGTCACACTGCTGCAGATTTGATGATTCTCAATGAAGAACAAGCCAAGAGACGCGAGATTTTGAACAAACGCAAAGAGGATTTCCGTAGAGCTGTAGAGGGTGGAGATTACGTGAAATTTGATCGCGATGGTGATTACGAAATCAATTTGGGAGATATGAACGACGCAAGACGTAAGTATTTTCCATTTGTTTAAAGGACATTGATTTTATTAAATTAATGTTTGTATCAACGAAATGATTTAGTCAAGATGTGTCTTGTTTTTTGTCATATCGTTTGCTAAATAAATTTAATTGATTCAAGTCCCTTATTTGAGTACCTATTATGTATTTAATAGGTAATTATAAGGGATAGATATAATGAATTGGTCTTTTTAGAGTAACTAATTCGTAAATTTTCAGTTTTTGCAGATGAATCTTACCTTAAAAACATTTGATTTAAAGCAGATCACACAACGTAAAATAGCCAACAAAGAAACTCGCTTTTATTCAAATTACTTTTTTACATTTGTGCGTGGGTGGCATAGTTACCAAGTGCACATCTACAGAAGTCAGAGGTCAGGCAAAATATTTTACAAATTTCAATAATGATCCATTCCTATCTGGTGGAATCGAACTTGTTACCTAAGGAATATACTTTGCATTTGATTAGCAAATTATGCATCATTCCTCGGTTGCATGAAGTTTGTTGTCGAATAATTGAGGAATTAATTCACTTTGACCACAATTATTTTAGTCCCTCAATAATCGTTCTGAATCTTGGCTTTTAATGGTGTTCACAGTGGGCACAATGAAGTCCAATAATAGCATGTTGATATTTTTTTAAAAAAAGATTTATTTATATTTATATCAAATGGCAGGCATTTTGGTAGTTATCATTAGCCCTTTTGTTGACTTCAGGCTTCACAGAGGGGAAGGAACATTAAAGTGAAAAAATGTCGAGGGGGGGGGGGGAACAGAAGAGGGTTTCAAAGATTTAAAAGAGACAGACACAAAGGTAGAGAAAATGTGAGGTGAGTACTGGGGAAGTAGTCGAATATGACATACAGTGAGGTGATGGTAGTTTGAAGTCAGAAGTCAACTGCCAGTTAATACACTTATTTTGCCGTATGAGTATACGTTGCCCAGGGTGCGCCACATGGAGGTAAGTCTATCGCACACCCCATTAAAAAAATAATGGAATATCTTCTATCATTAAGGCTAAATCATAAACTCACAAACATTAATGCTTTTATTTAGCCACCGCTTTGAAGGATCGTGATGACATCTACCTGAGTTCAAGTGAGGATGAGTTGGCAGAACCAAAGGAAGAGAAGAGACTCGGGGGAGGGGAGGTTGAAGTCGATGACGACTTGGTCTACGGTAGTGACGCTGATGGTAGCGACAGTGATGTGCGTGAATTACTTAATACTGACTCAGAAGATAATGATGGTGTGGATGAGTATGCAAAAGCACTGGCTAGGGAGGCCGAATTTGCAAATAAGAAGAAACTAAAGAAGAAAGGTACTCTATTGACTGATCTCGATCCTGCAGACGAAGAGACTAAGAAGAAACAAAAGATTGACTCTTGGTGCAACTCTGCTGAATTGAAGGTTGGTTTTTGACTTCCTACTTAATTTTACATTAGTAGTCTGTAGATTTACATATTTAGTTTGTGATCTACCCTTAATCGTGTAGCACAGGCGAAATTCTTTTAAATTAGTGGTCTTGAAACTTCTCCACCATAAGCAGAGAGGTACTAAAGAGGAATTCGAGGAATAGATTTTTGCAATGCTGATGGAAATTTCCAATGCAACTCGCAAATTTGGAACAGTACTTGATTAAGCTACGTGAGAGTACGAAGTAGCATTGCCACTCCGCATATTCCAGATTACCAACTGTAGCAAAAGATAGGCTGATGAAACAATTGTGGAAACCTAGCAAGAGTTTTGGCCAACTCTACTGGTTAAGTCTGACGGAGTTCGAGTTTTTCATAGGAGAAGCGCCATGATACATCTTTTCTCTCCAATATGAGTATTGAGAAACACCTTTCTAAGTATGTTTGGGAGTTATAACCATTAGTTGAAGCAATTTTTTGTCACCTAATTCGTTTGGATTGTAATATTATCGCAAGTCACTAAACAAGTTTGAAGTATGCCCATGACCCGACTAGTCGAACAGTTCACGCGTCAACTCATAGGTGGCAAGGGCGTGGAGTGTGGATCACTGTGGAAGCTGGATCCGGATGATTAGTGAGACCATTAGCTAAAACTTGGCGTTGGCCCATTGCCATGGCGCTCATTCAAGGCAATGAATGTGCTCTTCCTGACAAAATGGCAACCGCATCCTCTTTTACTTCATGACCCTTATTTTCATCTTTCATACAATCGTGCGTTATCTATTTACTATTCCATGATAATGATCTGTCGCAATAATTTAATTGTTCGCTTTCAGAACTTGTTGAACATAGCCAGCTCCGACAGCGAAAATGAGGAAGAAGGAGAAAGTAAAGACATCACGGAGCCTCCAGCGAAAAAACTCAAAACAGAAAAGGCGAAGCCTGCTTCGAACACGAAGAGGGTCCTATTTGCCGATGGAATCACACCAGGATCTGAAGAAGCTGCTAAAGCAGGGTCTAAAAATGATAGCGACGAGTCTGACGTTGAGGAGGAAACCGGAGGTGAAGACCTTGGCAAGGCTGATGATGCTGATTCTGTCTCATCTGATGAAGATACAAGTAAGTAAGCCCATGATTTTGCACGATAAGCCCCCACAATTGTTTTGTGGACTACCCCCCCCCCTCCATTATATGCAACTTAAGTAGACAAATTGTTTTGGAGCCGCTCTTATGAGAAGGCCGAATTCTATTACGCCCCCTTTGACCATAATTAGCCACTGCGTTTGGCCATTCACATGACAGGAGATTCATTTAACTCTTAAAATGCGCGCATTGACCTTTGAGTTATTGATGCTGCTTAAATAATGTTAATATCTACATACAGCCTCACAATGTTTGTTACAAGATTTTCTTTATGGCACGATTATTTTTTTATTCCCATAGAAATTTCCAAGAAGGAGAAGAAGAAGCTTAAACGCCTACGTCGCCCACTCACGGATGAGGAAAAAGCCCTTGCACAGAAACTCATCCAATCTGCCAAGAGTCGCCGTGACCTACTCGATTGGAATTTCCACCGTTTTCGATTCTTCGAGGACGAATCCACCCTCCCTGATTGGTTCGTCAAGGATGAAAAGGTTCATATGCGCAAGCAACCACCAGTGGAAGATGTACGCGCTGTGTTCCATTTAGATGTGATTTTGTGTGCTTCCCGCAATTTCTATCTCTTTCTTGATC